CATTCCCTTTTTTTTTAAGGTTTAAAAAAGAATTTTTAAAAGGGTAAATTGGCTAATTTTTTTTTTTTTTTTTTTTTTTTTTTTTTTTTTTTTCGGATTAAGCCAGGGAAAGAAAAAAAAGAGCCATTTTAGTATGTGGTGCCAGAAGCTAAAGCTAGATATACACCAATGACTGCAAGTAAATTTAGATTTGAAGCTAAAACTCTGCTGTTACCAAGCCATTTATACAGTGCGACATGAGACCAGCATATGGGCGTTAAAGCTGACCCCACCCTGACACGATTGCTGAGACAAGGCTTTCCAGGGCCGGGCACAAAATCTGCTCCGGAGAAGAAATGGAAAATGCCTTATCACATCCTCCTCTGCCATGGGTTGCTCTGGGAGTCTGAAGGACTTCAGGACTAAGTCAGCAGATTTGGAACCTTTCTGATACACAGAGCCTCCACCGCCTGTGAGCAGTATGCTGATTTCCCGCTGCCAACCTGCACGTCCCTATGCCTTTGGCATTGCTTACAAGGCAGCCTCTTGCCTCAGCCTTAGCACCAGAAGAAAGCTGCTGGTGAGCTGAAGTCTAACTTAGGTGGGTGTTTCAGAGTGAGACTTTCCCCCAATATTCTTAAAAATGCTTGAGGGTTTTCAAATAGATGAACTTAAATTTATGTCAGATCCTATTTGACTTGAAAAATTCTACTTTACTGTAAATTCACACAGACATTTTTTCTAATGGGAAATAAATTACTTGTAAGAATTTTCTTTTAGTACGAAAAGAAAGCTATATTATGTATTAGTCATGGTGAATCTTCAAAAAAATAATTTTGCACAGCTAGATCGTCTATCTGGGATATTAAAGCTGGCTAAAACTATGTTTATTTCTGAAAACAAAAAATAGCCATCCTCTCATTTGATAGTCTTTGTGAACTTCTTTTGACCAAAAACTATGTAATTTTAATTTTATGTTTGTTTTTTTTTTAAAGAAAACACAAACCTAAAGAAATTCACAGATTTGTGTGGCAGAGAATGTATGAAAATGGGTTTCACTCCCCCACTTGTTCATCCAAAACTCTTTTGCCTGTAGAGTAAGAATTTTTAATAAAACGTTCAAGACTCCTTGAAGCTGTCACTCAGGCAAAGCCTTTCTGACACTTGCTGGAACCATCCAGACAAAACTGAAGGCGGCTGTGTTTGAAGTGTATGTAGAGCTTTCACTGCCTCTGCTTTACTTGCACTTTAACAATAATTAGCACCCTTGAAGTCAGAAGGGCTTCTTTGATGATGGGTTTTCTGCTTCAGTTTCAACTTTTCAAAAAGCTGAGCAGCAGCACTGTTGACCTATGTGAAGGTCGCTGTAATTTGGGTACTTTAAAAACAGGAAGATGAGTAAGAAGAGAAATGTTCTTGAAATCTTGCTGTTGCTAACCTTACTCCAAATGGGTGAGACAGGAAGGACAAAAAGTCTGTGCTGTACAAAAGACACTGTTACTCATCTTTGCTAAATTTGCACTTTGCCTCTCATCTCTTATGGTCATAGCTGCTCACTCTCTGCACGGTGTTGGTGGATGCCACATGCAGCATGGAATAGTAATAATGAGTAATAAGCTACCAGGGGAAAATGATTCAAAATCAGTTTGCAAATGAGGTGCTGAATGTAGAGGGGGACTTGGAGGTGGGGGGTTCACGGGAAAATGCCAATTCTTTTTTCCTTCTCAGAGCTGCAAAACATTCAAGTGACAAAGTCCTGGGGGGTGTTGAAGGGACTTTCGCAGTAGTAGCAAAGAAATTTCACTCCCCTCTTTACTTCCTCTTTCAGCCACTGCATCCTCCCACCCTAATCACACAGGGTTCCCCCCCAGAAAACACCTTTGCACAGTACTCTTTCCGCCTCCCCCCCCCCCTCGGAATGAGGGTTTTGTCACCCAATCCCACACAGCTGGAACTGCACCCCAAGGAACAGCCCGGTGCAGCGCTTTCTCTGCCGCTGTTTTGTCCTTTTCCCCCTCCGCAGAGGAAAACTAGCTGGTACCTGTGGTTACTCCAAAGGGTTTGTATTTGACTAACCATATCTCTTGCAACAAGAGAAGTCAGGACCTTGAATTGTTTAATAAGGCTAAGAAATAATTAGCCTAATATGCTATATAATGGCCTAATATAGCGTAAAATAAACTACTGGCTTACAAAATATCCTGATGTCTGTGTATGCTGAGGCAGAACACAGTTGTCAGAGGATTTAATTTCTTTCCTTCATTTACAGAGAGAATAATTAGGACCAGCCCTAACCAGGATGATATACTGACCTCTGTCCCTGCCCGGCTTTTTTTCTATATGCTAAAGAGACACTTGGCAATTGTCTCCTAATAATATTTCAGGTAACATGCTTCAAACCACTTAGTAGAGAGTCTATTGTTGTTGACAAAAGACATCCCTATCACATGAAAAACATTGTGCAGAAATATAATTTTGGAACCAATGTTATAGAAAGGATTTAAAACACCCATGCAGGTAGACATAATGGCCACATATCCTTTGTCTGTTTTAATCAAACATTCCTTGTAAAATCATCAAGAAAATACAGGTGAAACAATCACCCTGGACTGCCTGATGAAAATTTTACATTCTCCTAAAACATGCAATCTCTCTCTTAAATATGCTTACTGCTTTAGACAGCATTTCCATGAGACAGGTGGTCTGGATTACCTTTATTTAAAACGGTTCAAGAATAAGGAATAATACAAGCTGATCATGGAGTCTGTTCTAGATCCAGCCTGGTCTCCTCAGCATTTTTAGGAGAGCTCTTCATTCTTCCCAGGAACCAAGGGTAGGCCTGGACCCAACTTGTCTGTCAGCACCCGGAGGAAGGGCTGGATCTTGGAGGGTGTTGTGGTCTCCCAAATGCCATTGATTCAGAAGTAGTCATCAAAATCTTTCTGGGTTGATCTTAAATTGGGCCAAGTTGTTTGCTTCTAGAGGGGAGCTGAGTTTATTGCTAAATCCTAGGGTATCTGACGAGCCTATGGGAGGCTCAGAGCAGATGAGATCACACAGCATTCAGCTGAACCTGACTTTCTTTGCAAGCAGAAAAAATGACCCCTGGCTCACCAGTACTAAACACAACTATCCTACTGAATAACGCTGGTCCCACTAATAATGCTTGTCTTGCTTTTTGTCCTCAATGTGGAATCAAGTTTATTTTTAGAAGCTTATTTTACAGTTCAATGTGGTTTTAGCAATACTATTTCTAGTTATAATTTAGAGATGACATTTTCTTTCACTCTGATTAATCTATTAAATAAATACGAAAATATATCAAGAGCTCTATATAAAAAGTACATACACGCAACAGACAAGCCCTCAAATAATAAACCAAGATTAATAAAAATATGCACTATATTACACACATGAAATGGCCATCTAGTTTTGAAAGTATAATGAAACTTAATTGCACATGAATCACACGACATCTAAAAAGAATCAGCATATATAAAATAATGGCATTGCCTCTGTAAAGAGAACTTGAGCATCTCCCTATTTAAAAATACAAAAAGAAGTCAACCAGTGACATTAGATAAATTAGGAAGGAGTTTGTGGATTTCTCCATTAAACATCTGAATAGGAAGATGAATAGCATGCCACAGCCCTTTTCTTTTCTTTTTAAGAAAAATTTAGCCTTCAAAACTTTCTGAAAAAACTGATTGGGACCTATATTCAATTAGGATTTGAAGAGAGGAATAATTTTTCCTCTGGATCTCCATACAAATGAGTACATAACACCAGTTTAAATACAGCCTTTAGCAGATCATTTTGATTTATGACAAACAGAAAAGTTTGCTTGAAAACATTACAGGAATTAAACAAAAATAAATGCACAGAGTCAACAGACTTCCCAACTACAGAGTTCAGTATTAAAATGCATGAAAGGATGGAGGAGTTAGACAATGGACCACAAGTACTGATAGTGTAAACCACCTTGACCCCAGGCTTCAGCTTGTTTAACCACCTTTGGACCACAAGCTGTGTGACTGTTCATATATGAACATGCCAACAGAAAACATCCTACATGTTCTTTAAAATCACACTTTATCTTGGGGCCTTTTGCCCAGGTGTAAATCACCCTTGAGGAGATCTGCCTGCAGATACCAGGGCACTGAGCAATTCAATGAAACACACGGGAAACTGCTGGAGGGCTGTGTCTGAGAAATCCAACCGATAGTCTTGTGCTTTATGTTCCAGTGAAGATCAGTACTAGCTGATGTTAGTATTTAGCCGGCTGAATACTCAACCTCCAAATTGCTTCAAACGGAGAACATAAAATAATATGCTTTACCAAAACACTTTCAATGACAGGTGCTATTGCCATTGAACAGGAACACTTCAACAACCCTGCTACAGTACGTTCCCCACCCCACAACTGACACAGACCACTGGCTGGGATTACCTTGGATTGTTTGCACTTGCATTTTTTTGAGGCAACCTAATTAGAAGTTGTTATTCTCCCTCCATTCCAATACACTTTCTTAAAAATGGCACAGACTACCGGTAGTAAATAGTTTTCTTTCTGAAAATTCATATCAATATAATGCACAGCATCAATATAATGCACAAATATTTTACATAATAGACACTTAAGGACAAAATAAAAGCTTATAAGATTGCAACTGCAGCTACTTTACTGTATTACATGGCTGGGAGAGTTTCCTGTAATTTTCTTTGATCTTTTCGGCAGAATTTAAACTTTTGGTACCAATAAGCAAGCAATGTTTCTTTTGGTAATTTTAAAAAGCAGGAGGAAAAATGTGGATGAAATAGAATTCAGAGGAAGTGAGTGACACCATAGAAAGGCAACTTTTAAAATATCAGCAAACTGGTAACATAATACTTATAGGGAAAATAAGAAAATACTTTGCTCAGCATCTCCGAAGTAAAATGGAGCAGAGGAAGATAGAGACCTATTCTTCAGGAATAAAATACTGACGTCTTCCCTAGTGATCTCCAATTGCTTGATTTGTGTATGTGTGATAGAGCTGGGGTCATTCTGTTTTATTAATTATCCGAACTAACAGACTCATTAAAAACATGCACAAACTATGACCAGTGAACGGGGAAGAGCAATGAACACCTCAAAAACTCAAGGATAACTGTATAGATTGTTAGGATAATAAAGTGAAGAACTTTATTATGTATCAGCTCATGTTTTCATCTCTTTATTCCCCCTGCCAAGAAGACTTGACCACAGACATTTAAAAATAGAGGTAAATAACTTTTTTCCTTCTGGGTTTCCCTCATTGCAGACCAAGCCATAAATCATTAACTGGCAGACTCTTGAATGCACCTACTGCTCCTCCTGGTTGGAAGGCATTTCTGAAGGATTCTGATGTTTTAGACACTGTATAGGAAGCCTTTTTGGATTAAACATGATTTTTGTTCTTGAAATTTATTCTTCACTTACTCTTGTACCATGGCAAGTTTAGTACCTTAAATGCCTGTAAGATGGAGTGACTGGATACTTCTGGAGCTCTGCACAGCCAAGAACCTCCATCTGGGGAACAATTAAGTAAACCTCCTCCTAACACCCAGGACACAGTAAGTGTCCTCTGGGGGGGAACGGGGAACTGAAAACATTCTGCAACTCTTGGGGGCTTACTTCAGAAAGCAAATGTCAATTTTGTAACTGAGACATAATTTTAAAATTATTAAAATGAATAAAACTTGTATTTAATTATGTTCAAAAGACATCAGTAGCACAGTGCCTCTGTGAATTCCCGTCCAAGTTCCACGTGATTTTGATTTCCCCAGCTCTGATCTACTTGGCATCCTGGTATCATTACACTCCACTCTTCATGTCAAGTTCCTGATGATTTTGTGTTTCATTAATGGTCAGGAATTCATCACATGCTCCTGTTTGGTCATTTGACGGTTCTTTATGAACCAAGTGCACCATTTCTTGTGATTTGCTGGCATCTCCATTTAATCCACTTGTTTTCCTGTCCTCCACTGCACCTTTGCCATTGTTAATCACTAGCTTTTTCTTCTGACCACATCTAGAAAGAAATAAAAAGAAAATAAGGACTATAAGTAGCATAAGTAGTATAAATGGATACTAACAGAAATAAGAAAAAAAAATGAAAAGTCAGTATTTAGGAAAAAGTGCCTGGAAATGAAACTTGTGTCTGCCAGTGCAGTCTTATACAATGCTAAGTGTAAAGTTTCTCCATATTGCATATTCTATTTTTGAAAGCATCCTCCATTATATGTATAAAATTTAGCAGGAGCTCAATTACTTGTTTTGTATCTATCTATAGATAGGAATAACATTCATTACTGAAAGCTAGAAAATATTTTCTAATAGAATCATAGAATCATAGAATGGTTTGGGTTGGAAGGGACCTCAAAGATCATCGAGTTCCAACCCCCCTGCCATGGGCAGGGACACCTCCCACCAGACCAGGTTGCTCAAAGCCCTGTCCAACCTGGCCTTGAACACCTCCAGGGATGGGCCATCCACAGCTTCTCTGGGCAACCCGTTCCACTGTCTCAATACCCTCACAGTAAACAATTTCTTCCTAATATCTAGCCTAAATCTCCCCTCTTACAGTTAAAACCATTACCCCTTGTCCTTTCACTACTCTCCCTGGTAAAGAGTCTCTCCCCATCTTTCCTGTAGGCCCCTCTAAGTACTGGAAGGCTGCTATAAGGTCTCCCCAGAGCCTTCTCTTCTCCAGGCTGAACAACCCCATCTTTGTGACCCTCTTATGGACTACCTCCAACAGGCCCATGTCCTTCTTGTGTTGGGGGCCCCAGAGCCGGATGCAGTACTCCAGGTGGGGTTGCACCAGAGTGGAGTAGAGGGGGAGAATCCTCCCTCGCCCCTGCACCGCTGGCCATGCCTATTTTGATTCAGCCCAGGATGTGGCTGGCTTCCTCAGCCGCAAGTGACCACTGATGGCTCATCATCTCTTCAGGGATGCTCTCCAGCCATTCTCCACCCAGCCTGTATTTGTGTGCCTGGAATTGCCCTGACTGAGGTGTAGGACCTTGCACTTGGCCTTGCTGAACTTCATGAGGTTCACATGGGCCCACCTCTCCAGCCTGTCAAAGTCCCTCTGGAGGGCAGCTCTTCCTTTCAGTGTGTCAACCATGCCACTGAGCTTGGTGGCGTTGGCAAACCTGCTGAGGGTGAACTCAATCCCACTGTCCATATCGCTGACAAAGATGGTAAACAGCACTGGTCTCAATACTGACTCCTGAGGAATACCACTTGTCCTGGTCTCCACTGGGACATTGACCCGTTAACACCAACTTTTTGAGTGTGGCCATCCAACTAATGCCTTATCTACCAAGGGGTCTGTCTGTCAAATCCAGGTCTTACCAAGTGTACAAGGATGTTGTGCAGGACAGTGTCAAATGCCTTGTACGCGTCCAGGCAGAGTATGTCAGTTGTTTTTCCTTTATCCACCAATGCTACAGCCATTATTCATCCACCATCTACCCCATTGTAGAAGGCCATGGTATGCCTTTAGTGATGCCATGTTGGCTATCATGAATCACCTCCTTATATTCTATGTGCCTTAGCATAGTTTCCAGGAGGATCTTGCCAGACACAGAGATGAGACTGACCAGCCTATGGTTCCTTGGTTATTTTTTTATTCCTTTTTTAAAAATGGGGGTTATGTTTCCCCTTTTCCAGTCAGTGGGAACTCATGACAACATCAAATTTTAAAAAAAGGAATATATAGCCAAGCAATATTCTATACACTGAGAAGGCCCAATTACTTATTTGAAATGCTTGAATTCTCTGCCATACTGGCATCCTAACTAGAAAGATTAAATCAATTTATTTCTGAATCAGGAAACTCAGGCCTGCACTTCATTAGGCTTTTCCAGACAACCTGAATAAGACTGAAACTGGGGGTGCTAGAGTTAGCATTCATTTAAAAAAAGGTGCACCTGACAGCCTAACACAAATAAAAACACAGATCATTCTTACTTTTTAAATAAATTAATGTTTGAAATGTCCTCAACTTACTGCTCAGCTAACACTGAAATGCACTCTCCTCCTTTCTCAGCATCCAGTTTTCTTATAGCACTGCTGCAGTGTTAGTTTCAGATTAGCTGACATTCACATGCAGTATGTTGACTGCACAGTAACTGTCTCTCTATGGATTTTCAATATATTAGCACTTAACAGAAGAGGTGAAGAAAGAGTTCTTGACTTATTCATGTTATCATTCGAATCCTGCTAAAGTTAAAGAAAAAATTCCATTTGTTTCAAGCATACCAGAGTACGTCCCTCCTTCAAAAAGTTTTCCTTGCAGTGAGTAACACATATTACTAGGGTCTAATCTATGTACTTGCACACATGCATGCACCCACATGCTCCTCCTCTCTTTGCGACTCACTCCCAGCTGCACAGAAGGTCTAAGTAAAAGGTATGTTTTCCATTAGTGGTATAATTTACAGCTCTGAGATTGTTTCATTTCTTGTCAGATACAATCTATAATTAGCCATAGTGGCCCTGTTTGTCTGTTCCTATGGTGACTGAGTGAGAGGGAGGAAACACTGTCAGTCTCTACTTTGAAGTGCGTATCAGAGTAACGCATAAATCAATAAGCCATGCCTTTCAGGCTGTGTAACTCCAGAATCACTTCACAGAAATAAAGTTGTTGTATTTTCTGTCTCACAATATGCTTGATAGCTTTCTTATTTCAACAGTAATAATACTGTCATTGGTATCGCTGGTATTGTGGATACAGTAATAGGGGAAACATATCAAGCGACATGTCACTACTCACTTCAGTAAGACTGTATCAGGTTACTCTGTCAGATGGTTTGGCATCCAGTTTTCACTGGTTTGCCTCATAGAAGCCTGCTGCATGGACTTATCTCATAGAAGCACACAGAAGCATTAAAATGTACTTTCCAGCAACCAGCAGACAGACTAGGAATAGATTTGCTCACTCTTTCCTGAACAAAAATTTCCACATATCAATCTCAACATATAATACAATTGCAACATCCAAGTAGAAAATAGGTACTCCTGTTAAAGGATTCGACTTAAACACTCAAGTAGCAAAAAGCCTTGTAAGACAATTGAGAAGTAACCTGAGAACAGCTCCCAGAAGAAAAGAAAGATTTAAGAACATTACAGCCTATCCTTTAGGCTAGAGTTTTTTCAAATTTCCTGGCTAACTTTGGACACAGATCGCTGCGAATGTCTATTCCTCAGATTCTTCATCTGTAAAGTGGAGTGAATAAAGCTGTTGAGTGCTCTGATAACAGTATTAGAATATATCCCTCTGACTACCAGCTGCCTTTTGTTTGGAAGGAACAAATTAATCCTGTGACAACGATTGTCTAACACAGCCCTTCACACTGTACACAGACAACACTGTCAGTGGTAGAGAATCATACTCAGCTCATCCTGTAGTTGCTACTGTCTATGTCCATCTCAAATACTCTTCATTCGCAGAGAACAGGATTTTCCTATTCAAGAAATAGGACTTGTCTCCTAGGTAGAGAATAATTAATTATCTGTGAGTATATACAGCTAGTTTCCATTTCCAAGTAAAGACCAAATGGTTTATACAGCTACTGACTTCACATGGTTCCATATGAGGGTAAAGACTGATGTGTGACCTGTGCAGGACATGGTGACGTGGGCCCGCACATCCCACGTCACAGAGCTTTGCAGAGGAAGCTCTTTCCTGTGTTATGCTACTCTGCTCTTTCACAAAGCTTTGAAGCCTAACTGAAGAAAATAGCAAGGCAGTGTATTTTGAAGAAGCAGAGGGGCTGCCTTACCTTCGTCGACTGTTAACAGCAATGCAGACTGCAAGAATCAACGCAAGTGCCACAAGTGCAGCAACAATGATCAGCCATTCTGTGGGGAGAGTTGAGGGAAGGGAGGAGAGTGGGTTAACATACATCACACAGCTTTGCTGTTTCACAGAACTGCAAGAACACAAGTTCTTTTATATTCTTTAAACTTTCAGACTTTTTTCCTGGCTTGCATTGATGTTTGTTTTATGAAGTGCTTCTGTGCAAATCAAATAAATTTTCATCATTCTGCTATACACGGGCCAGCTCAGATGAAATACCCCATCTCTATTAGTGCCTATAAGCACTGTACATTGGTGGGCATAGGTGGAGAGGAGTTGTATTTACTCCAAGAGCAAAAGAAAAGGCTTATCAATGATACACCTGCAATTCTTTGCACAAAAGCAGGATGACTTTCAGGTAGAGTGAACTGCTCATGTTTTCATTTAAAATATTACTTTAAGGGATATATTGGGGGCAAACTGGAAAAAAAAAAGGAACTACAAAACTAGACAGGATCCTAAAAGGTCACATCAGTTACATTTCACTCCAGTGAAAAAGGGTCAATAAGATGATGGCTGAGGAATATTCCATTTCTTTTAACATTTTTAATAATGAAGATTTCACAGCCTTCCTAGTAGACTATTCTTTATGCTACACAACCATTGAAGACAGAGATCCTCTCCTAAGAGCTATCTCCTTTATTTTGTTTGTTTGAAACAAATCTCCCTTGTTTAACAAGATTTCTATGCTTCATTTGAAAGAAATTATTTCTTCAAATTAGTTAATTATTACTCTGTGGTGAAAAACTGACAAGCAACCTTTTTTTAGCATACTGTTCTCATATCTCCCTTTGGTTTTCTCTGAAAACGATGAGTTCTTCAAAAGGTGCTTCAAGATTACCTCTCCAAAGCTTTCTTTGTGCTCATCTCCAACTTTTTTCTATATGATTAATGCAATGCCTTGAACTGAACACAGAGCTTCAGCTCTGGACTTGGTAGGCTTAAGTAGGGTGGGATAATTACTTTGTTGCTTTTAAAAATTACTTTACTGCTAATATGTCACTGAATGTATTTGTATTCTTTTGCAATTTTATCATGGTGTTAGCTTCTTTCTAATCCATTTTAATCTGCAAGCCTTATTCTGCAACACTCAGCTTATTATTTTCAGCAAATATTCTTGTGGATATAATATTTTGCATTTATCTTTATTGAATTTTGCCTGATTTAATATCAATTTATAAAGGTTATTTGGATCTTAATCCATTTCTCCAAATGCATTATTTCTCTCATCAGGATATTGCTGGAAAATTATATGAGTGACAATATGCTTCATTTTTCAGATTACTAATGAAAATACTGAATATTACCTGATTCATAACAAACTCTGAACAGCTGTACTTGACCTACATTTTCATCTCTTACTTCAGTTCATATTAATACAACTCTGTGCTTATATTGTTAAAACATATGACTTCAAAAACCTACCTGGTACCTGGGCTGACCTAGGTTGTGAAACTATTGTTGTTGTTGTGGTCTCTCCAGGGAAAGTAGTGGATTCATGATGTCCCTTGTGTGGTCCTTGATTACCATCTATACTGGAGGTAGATCCTGAAGAACAAAACTGTCCATTAGTCCAAATATGCTTAGTGAATATTTAACAGCAAGATACAAAGTCTATGACTTCCACAATTAAAACAACATATTCTAGAAAGTCCTCGCTGAGGTCATTAAAACGTATTTATACTGAGAACTCTTATATAGAGTATAATCATCGTACTCATCTGAACTATGGTTAGTTTTAGCATTTTGAATAACAAAACTCATGCTTTTCCCCTCTTGTCTCTCTCACATGTTTCAGTTTATATCATGCTATACTTCTGTGAACCAAAATGCAATTATAAAATTGCCTGGAAATTTTGTGGAGAAAATGTAAAGACATGTGAATGTTGACAACTTTTTGAAGAGGTTTTTGTCATACAAGTCAAACATGTCTTGTCCCATGGGGAAAAGAGAGTGAGAATAGAAGAGAAAGAGAGAAAAAAAGAACACCACTTTTTTATTTAATCCTAAAATGACCACTATGGAGAAATTTTGAAACTTTTGATTTTGTTCCTACATAGGATAAAACTGCATTTCAAAAACTCTAATGCTTTCATAAAATACAATAATCCTCTGAATGGTTTTTAATTTGAGAGATATGTATAGAGTGGGACTTTAAAAATTCAAAATACTTTTTCCTAATAGAAAAAAATGCTCTGTGTAAACTTAAGGATGGATCCCCTTGTCCTTTTCAATAAGTTGTGTAATTCAGTTCTAAAACAGGATCTTAAATCAAAATGCATGCTTCCAGACTTAAGCATTTGCTATGCTGGCCATACCACTTGAACTTCTACATTTCTGGCCCCACACCATTGCCATATGGGTATCCCAAGTTTAAAATTATCAGCTGACTATAGATATGGTGATTTCATTTGGTACTACTACTTCATTATCACTACAAAAAAGATATGGGAGACCTCTGCCTGTCTGAATTCTTCCAGACTCTAATGGAGCAAATTAAGCACTTACTCTAATCAGCTGTGAAGTTCTATTTCTTTAATACGCATTACAACTCATTTCCAGCCAGCATTTCTGATCTCATTTCCTATTAGCAGCTGGCAAATACAAACCTGAGAAGCATCTTTTTTCCCTCTGTTAAGCTTAGCCAACAAGTCGTTCATGAATCTTCCAGATGTTTTCATTAAGAAACTTGCTGACTGGTGAGTTGTTTTGTGCTATCTCACCACAAAGGACAGAGCGCTCATTCAGCAGCTAAGGGTCCTGACCTAGCCTCCAAGAAACCCAACAAGAGGAACATGCTCACTTGTCTACCCCACATCTCAGCAGATTTTTTCTTAAGGTGCTTTATATCATCCGTGAGAAATGCCAGAGCTTTTCCACCACAAAGTCCCTTAGAAAGACACACAGACATTTATTAAAATTCAGGTGCTTAGAAAACCGCTACGTTCACCCTTCCCCTCCCCCGAGCACTGAGAAGAAGGAGCAGGATTCAGTCATGTCCCCTGCTTCTCTGGCTCTGGGCAGGTGCTTGGAAGTGACAGGGAGGGATCAAAAGCTCATTTCATTTTGATGACATACTAGATTTTTTTAACAGTTATTTTTTAGGTTCCTACAGTGGACTGATTTGTTATTCCATGGACACTTGGAAAACAGGTCAGTCAAATGAATAAACCCTTCAATAAATAAACAATTTATGATGATGGTAGTGTCCGAGTGACTCCCTTGTATTGTGTTTTTAAAAAGCACCAAGAGAAGACAAATGAAAAAAGGAAGACTTCTGGGAATATGGCCTTATGAGCCTTTGCCAGGGTACTGACAATGCAAAGATTTGACACAGATGTTCACCTTGAAAATGACCTTCAAACCAGTTCTTACAGGTTTTATGTGCTCAAAACAGAGACATATTCAACCAACGTAGAGGGAATACAGATGAGGGGAAAAGTGACTGACAGTTAAGTGTCACATAGCTATCACTTGTGCCCAGCAAAAAAGCGCAACATGCTATCACATATGTATGAAGAGAAAGTTTACTTGTTCACTGTAATTACTGTTTTACCACATACAGATAAGAGAATGGAAGAAAAGGTTATTTGCAAAACATTATTTTCAGTCTTTTAGCAAATGTCCTCTGCTTTGCATAGGAAGACATGCCCTTTAACAGTACCTTATAAGCAGGTTATAAACAATAGTAAAACCCCAAAATAAAGTAATAATATGATAGTAATTTACAATTATGGTTAGTACACATGATTTTGGACCATCGCCATCTTCCAAAATAATAACTGACTGACGGATAAATGAAAATACTCATAATTTGTAGTTCTTACTAGTAGGAAGAGGGGTCTGCAATTGGTTAAGATGATCTTCAATGCCTGGGAAAACTCCAGGTATCCAATTGACATCGGAACCATCTGTGGTGTTCACTTGTTCACTCTCACTTCCAGATGGAGTGGTAGGTGCCAGTGGCTCCTTGGTTGCTTTCTCTTGGTTAACATCATCCACGGACTCTGCGACTGCCATGACGACGTCACTATCAGCTTTAAAAGTGAGTGCTCACACCTCCACCCACCCCCCACCCCCCCCCATTATTTCCTTCTTTCCTGTACCACAGCAAGCCAGAAAGCACGTTCATTTTCTTCATTCAAAGCGCAAGAGAGAAGACATGAAGGCCTCCCCTTCTTCCACACTGTCACTGGCTTCTGAAAGACTCTTATGCACCACATACATGTTCACCATGTTGGAAGGGGACATTGACTACATATAAAGATCCCAGTGACAGACGGAGAGGGAAGACCTTCAGAAGAAGAGACCACAGCAGCAACAACCTGATCCTGTAACTCAGGAATGAGCGGCCATACTGCAGCCAGATCTGTGGCAGTCTTGCCTGGCAATCCAGCGGTGGGGAGGAGTAAGGAATTGCAGGCAGAATTTATGGGATGTAATTCCTTTATGATTGCCCTGCACTCACCACTGGGAAAGCACTCCCTTGGTGATGGTGCTGCTGCTGAGTCACAGGAGCAAGCCATCTGATTAACCCACCAGAGTACCTCCACCACAGCAATCACAGTGCCAAAGTATATCAAGCCTGATCCCACAGATGTGCAAAAAAGGAAGATGGGGTTGGGGATTCAGAATCACCAAGGTGCATGTCTTACAGAACAGTCAGGAGGCCATCCAGGAACACGCTTCAGCAAGCACAGAAACCGCCAAGTGTACCGGCAAGGACTACCTTATGGCTTGTCCAGAAGGTAATTCTATCAACAGCAAAAATCTCACCACAGCAAGTCCACACCAAGAATGAAGACCCCCAGGATGAGAAAGATAGTGAAAGGAGTCAATTTCAGAAGAAATAATGTCTCATTTAGCACCAGACATAAGAAATGTGTATGATTCTTACTGGTACCCATCAAAGGAGAGTCATCACCAGCTTCGTTCGTACTAGCTGATGTCCTGTCGAGGACCTCATTCCCAGGGGTGCCTCTGGGATGCGTGATGCCTTCAGTGCCCTGTCCTGGTTCACTATCTGAAGGCAGAGGTGGCTGAGTAGGATCTTCATGGTGAGCACCACCAGGAGAGGCAGCAGCTGATTTATGATTTAATAAATTAATAAATTTAATAAACCATGATGATTTAATCAGCTGGTAATTCCATGTGTGTGCTGCCATACTACTCCCATACCACCACATTCGAGTCTCCTGTTCACTTTAAACCACTGCTACCCTTTTCTCATCACAAAAGGGGAGGAGAAGGGAGACATTCTGTTCTCCAGCACATCATCACTGTTCTCCCGATATATTGATCAGATATTCTCATTGGCTATTCTCATCCACTTTTTTACTTAATTCAAAAGATTTCCAAGGACAGTGGACACAGACAGCAGTCAGGAGAAATCTCTGACTTGTGTCTCATGCTTCAGGATCTCATGCACAGATCCTCAACTTCGGGGACTGTCAAGTGCTGCTACAGTGTGTTTCATGTTATGTCAGTACTGACAGTAAAGATCACTTTCTACAGGCATTGATTCTCCTTTGTTCCTTAAGACTCTCTTGAGTGGTGACAAGTTACAGAAAATGGTTATAATTAGTTGTTCTGTTCATGGTGGTTGTAAGAACTAGGCTTACTCCCATTATCAGCTTCAAATTTTGGGATTACTGAAGGATTTTACCTGTTAAAATTACTTTGTGGTGTGGTGTTTACTGAACCCACCACCCACACTGTTATTCTCTTCCTTATATGGAGGGTAGACTTTATGGTTTTTATTATAATTGGATCATAAAGAAGAAAATGAAATAGGGTTTTCTATTTAATTTCATTGTCATCAGCTTCCCATCTTTGTAACTTAAACTGTCCTGCTTTATCTAAACAGTTGGCTAATGCTGTATAATGACAGGAGCAATGAGACAGAAGAGATACCTTCAGAGGAATACACAGCAACCAAAGAAGAAATTTAACTAGTTGTCACAAATTCAAAAATAAGTTCTGAATACTGTCTGTTTAAGAAAGGATTAAAGTTACCTTTCATCTTATTTCAGGAATAAGTCGTGTGTTTCTTATATCATATTTTCAGAATATTATTTTGATGGTATAAATGCTATGTGTTATACGTGACTGCTCATGGTGTTGTGTCATGACAGTTTTGTAAATTCCTTTCTCTCATCATTCTATGAACCAGAGAGACAAATGTTTCAATAAAATCTGTCAAAAGAACACTCTTTCCCCAGATGAATATTCACAAATTAAGAGCATTACCCTGTTGATGCACAAATATACTTAAGTATGAATTCAACTTCATGCCAAAAACAGTTTGGCAACACCACATAATGTAACTTATGTCATGAGCCAGATGCAATTCAGGCCATCTGAGAGACAGAAATGATGAAATATACATAATTGACATTATTACTAGAACCTGTTGTGGAAGATTTCTTTCATTATTATTCTGTCTGGAAGGAATAATTGTATCCGCTACAGAAGGGTGTGTGGCATAATCCTCTCCTTTGTCCCAGCCTGGATACACCAATGGGTCTTCCTCTAAGTTGTTCTGTTTGGCCCCACGGCTGGAGGCATAGCTGTTATGATGATGGTGAAGCAATTATGAACTCAGTATATTAAGATCTATTTCTTAGATTATTCTGCTCTTTGGTTCTTGTCTCTATGACTGGCCTTTCTCACATGTCTACTACATTTAATGGCAAAAAGACGTAAAGCAGATTTGCTTCTCATTCTGTTTTATGTTTAGAAAAGCTGCCTGCTGTCACCATTAGGACTGACACCTTCCTCAAACTGAGCATATACTTTTCAGAATCAAGATATCTCATTGTTTTTCAAAAGTATTTCCCTGAATCACGCTGTTGACTTTGTATTGGTTGAATATCAAACCAATACACACTGATGCAGAATTAAGAATAGCAAAGGCTAAATAACTCCAAGAATATGACCCATCAGTAAGATTTTAATCACAGAATATCAATTCCCCCCCCCCCCCAAT